GGTGTCCCATCACTAATCAGGGGCATCCCAGTCATTTCATGTAACATTGTACTGTACTTTAATATAAATAATAGTACTGTCGACTGGGTTAGTTCAGTTCGACATTCACAGCATCTCTTGGTCTTCTCCTCTCTTCTACTGCTTCAGCTACAACACTTCAGCTTTCACTACTATGTACACATTTCTAGTACCCAGAGATATAAGTTTGAACCAAAGGCCCATAAGTGAATTTTCCTTGGTTATGTATGCCTCCACACAAAAGGGTTATTGTTGCTTTGATCCTAGTAGTGGAACTCGTTTTGTCTCAATGGATGCCACTTTTGCTAAGTCTACTCCTTTTTAGGTTCATCTCAAGGGGAGCATCGTTCATAAGGGAAGTATTGTCACAGTTGTTTGCACTCCCCCTTTCAGTTCCTATTGAGCCTTCTTCACTTGAATCTTCTTTTGTTGAGTCCAATGGGGACAATCATCCCCTAGTCCCTCCACTATTCTTGTTTTTCCACCATTGCCTCCTCATCCTCTACTATTCACAAGTGGTACCAGTGGCAAAAGACCAAGAGTGAGCAGATTGTTTCTCCAACATCACATGAGCCTTCTACACTTCCAATTACTGGAGAGACAACAGGTGCTGAGCTCACACCCTTGCAGCCCCCTTCCCTGACCTCGATGTTCCTATTTCCATCAGAAAAGGTAAGCGGAAATTTGTTGCACATTGTATTTCTAAACACCTTTCTTATGGTCTTATTTCCCCTTCATATTATTCCTTCGTTTCCTTTGTTTCTTCTCACCTTATACCCAGGTTTGTATCAGAAGCACTCTCTACTCCAAAATGGAAGGATTCTATGAAAACCGAGATAGAGGCACTGCACAAGAATGACACATGGGAAGTGGTTGATTTGCCTGAAGGGAATGAGCCAATGGGCTGTAAGTGGGTGTATACCATCAAATAGCATGCTGATGATTTCATTGAGAGGTACAAAGCCTTGTTGGTTGCGAAAGGCTATACACAGATGTATGGGATTGACTACCTGGAGACTTTTGCCCCTGTTGCGAAGATGACCTCTGTGAGGGTTTTACTATCTTTGGCAGCTCATTCAGATTGACTATCAGCTAGATGTGAAAAGTGACTTCTTGAATGGAGAGTTACATTAGGGGGTTTATATGTCTCTCACCAGGAATGTATGACCCAAATATGCAGGGTAAGGTGTGCAAGTTGAAGAAATCTCTCTATGGGCTCAAACAGTCACCTAGAGCCTGGTTTGAGAGGTATAGGGTTGCTCTTGTTAACTTTGGTTATATACAGACTAAGTCTTATCATACCCTCTTTGTGAAGAGGAGAGGTTCATTAGTGGTATATCTTATAGTCTATGTGGATGACATTTTAGTGACTGGCACTAATGTGATAGGGATTGATAACCTAAAAACCTTCCTTAATTTAGAGTTTGAGATCAAAGATCTGGGGGAATTGAGGTATTTCTTAGGTATTGAAGTGGCTCGGTCTAAAGATGGCATCTTCATATACCAATGCAAGTATGTGATAGACTTGCTCACTAAAATAGGTAAAATGGGAGCAAGACTAGTGGCTAGCCCTATTAATATTAGTTGCAAGCTTTCTGCTTCTGATAGAGAACTGTTGAAGGATAGGGGATGTTAAGATTGCTAGGTAAATTGTTATATCTA